TAAAAAATACAACCTACTTATTTATTAATGGCAAAAACGTTTTTTATTCTCTTCGTTTTCCTAATTTAACACATATATCTTTTTTTACTAATTTATTATCCTTTTTTTTCTCTTATTTCACTTTTGCTTTTGAATTAGTTTGTTTTGTCTTTTCATTTTCTCTTTATAATTTTTTAAGAATTCAGTCTAAAATTTACAAAACTTCTTCACCAACAAATATTTTTTTTAACAATTTCTAATAAAATCTAAAATAGAAACGCCCAAAACACTACTGCTTTCATAAAAAAAACTGTATTGTGTCTATTGTAGTAATAATTTCTTTTTTTCTACAAAACAATGAGTTCTGAATGTTAAAATACATAACAAATCCATTTAATAAATGCATAATTGATTTTTTATTCACTTTAATTGTTTTTTAATTAAATTAACACCTATTTGTATCAATGTAATTTCTTTGCACAAAAGAGGTATTTTTATCATTTTTTCTTTGCTTTTAATTTTTTTCCTTTTAATTCTGTTGACAAAAAAATCTATTGCCAACACTGGTCAGATCAGATTGTTTCACTGACGGCTATGCCACTGGCCGCCCTCAAAAAATAAATGTCAATTTAATAAAAATTAAATAAAATTTGAATTTGAAAGTCAAAGTTACCAAATGAAGATTTCAAATTTGTTACCAACGTGACGACAAAAATCAGTCATTGACAGTCACTTGAAAATATAAAATTTCCACGTTTTTTTATTTTACAAATAAACTCCAACTGTTATTTTGCTGTGTTTTTTAATGAGGATTATTCAGGAAATATTAAATAAGAATTATGGACAAAAACGCAAAATACGCAACAACCCTTGTACTATGTAACTAAGAATTGAATTTTGGTTCTTTTTGTAAGAATTTTTGTCATTTATTCCACCACATTTTTATTTTTTCCCTTTAATTTCTAGTTAATTGTTTTCCTGATAAGAAAAAATAAACATAGATAACAAAAATACGTTTAACAATAAAAAACAAAAAAACTTAGTCATATTCGTTATTACAGCATCGTATATCGTCCAAGATAAGAAAATTTAATTAAACCCATCTAAAAATATAAATTATCGATAATTTCTCATGCTTGGACCAGTTCGGAATCACTGACATTTGCATGATTAAGGTCAAACACCGAAAAACAGTATAATCGGTGAAAATATTATTATCATTGACGTTTCGGTTGTTGATAAGGTCAACAATGGAAATTTTCGAAAGCCGTAGGGCTTCCCAATCAATTACCTCGGCCCCGAACCAGAGCTGTCCCGCCAAATTCTCCTGGAGGACATCCTCCGGGAACTTGACCCTGAAGTCCCTGTTGGCCCTCTCATCTCCGATGAGGACATCCATGATGGCATTGGTGATCGTCAACACCTTGTCCTGGCTCTGCCTCAGCTGGTTGACCAACGTGGTGCACCGCCCCGGGTCCTTGCGTCCATCGAAGCTGTCCAGCTCGTTGGCGATGATGTTCAAAGCTTCATCGGCGAAGAAAAATTGCGCCAACAAGGATTTGTCATCACGCTGTAATTAATAAAACAATATGACGTCACACATTGGGAAAACTTTTGATTTTGATCGAATGACGTCACAAGGTAGAAAGCGAAACAAAACAACAACGCGTAATTGCACGATGCCTACTTAATCAGCGAAATTAATTCATCGATTTGGAAGAAAAAAGAAACTAGACCGTTGGGAAATTAGGTTGCGACATTGAATTTACGACTAATTAATTAGGGGGGCTCACCTTTGGTCGGTAGAACCACTTCCGCAACGACTCCATCCTCAGGCCTCCAGCATTGTCGAGACGACGATTTCCGACGAAATGTAGGCAGCTTTTGCGGAATTTAGAGCACGGTTTCAAGAGAAACCATGTTGATCATCACTATTTGCACTAAATAAAGAGTTTTTACGACACGGAGACAAGGCTGGTTTTGGTGTCATGGCGACTAGAGAACGATAAAATATTATCGAATTTATTGCTCTGGAGTTTAGAACTGCGGTTTTATCGAGTTTTGAGGCGATTTAGCACGTTTCGAGACAACAAAACGTCTGGAATGATTCACACGACATACTGAATTTGACAGGTGTGCACGCAGTGCTGACACCTGCATAAAACTATAATCGGGTACAGGTTTCTGTAATCGGCTAACTGTCAACTAGAATTTCAAGCTGGGCTTGTAGACACTGGCGTAAAGAGGGCAGAGAATGGGAATACAACACTCAAAACGTTTCTATTTGAATCTTGGCAACTCCAAATTGTAATAATTTACATCCATTACTTACTTCTTTCTTCATTTTAGGAAGTTTAAAAGTACAGGGTTGGTATAACTGTCATGTTTTACGCGTCTTTGTAAAGTGCAGTAACTCCTGTTGTGGCTATTTTTTCAAAAATAGAAGTGTTTTTTGATTTAAATTATCACCGAAATGGTAAATTTAAAGTGACAAATACCAAGAAAGTTATTTTTTTAATTTAAAATACGGCCCCAACACTTTGCAGTTAAGGTAGGCTCAAAAAGGGTTTTAAAATCACTTGAAACCCAAAAATTTGGCTTGTTTTTCAAGTTACAATAGTTTCTAGTACTTTTACTACTTAGTAAAAACTTTGGTAATGTTGGTCTTTTTCAGTAACCTTTATATTCACAGGTTGGTAATCACAAATTTACAAAAAATGATTTTTTTGGAAATATTTTAACCAATATTTAATTAAGAAATAGAGAAAAAAACATTTATGCAATGTAAAAAATACCAAAAACACCGACTGTCTGTCAATGACTGATTTTTATCGGCATGTTGGCAACAACTTTGACTTTCAAATTCAAATGTCACAATTTTATAGCAAATTGTCATTCGTTTTTGAAGGGCGATCGCTGGCATAGCCGTCACCTGTAACAATCTGATATCGCAAACTAGAAGTATTACCAATTATTCAGTGTTGCCAATTGTTTTTTTTGTCACAATTACAATTCGTTTTTTAATTTATTGTATGCGTGTGAATCAGTTAATAATTCGAAAGACGTACGAGATAGCTATCTCTTTTCAACATTTGTCGGTCACGCTATTTATCTCATTTTAAGAAATACGATTATAGTAACGCAGGGCTAGTGACGTATGTATCTTGTAGCCATGTATAGAACGTTTCATAACGACTGACATCTCGGTGGGCTTTGAGAGTGTAAACCAGACTTTAATTTTAGTTCCAAGAAAGTTATTAATGTGAACGTTCTTTAGATCCTGATACATCATAAAAAATAACATTTCAGTTGAATTCTGTATAAAAAAATAACAAAACCTATGTATAAAAGAAATGTAGAAAAAACGTGAAGATAAGAGAGAGCACAAAAACCATTTAAAAACACGTCGTACAAAAATGAACAACCTAGAACTTTCAAAGTGCAAATGTTGCCACCTTAAATTTGAATTTCCATGACCTACCAAGATGTCAATCATTTTGAAACGCTCATTTGTCATTTTGTTTTATTTTTAATGAGGAAAACTGTTTTGAGGCTAATATTTATACCTCCTTCCCCTGTATCATCATAACAATCGTAATTCATGCCGTATAAAAAACGTAATGCTTTAATTTTTGACATTAGTACCAAAATGTCAGAAGCTGTCAAATGTCAAAAACAGACGGTCATGTCGTGTTCTTGATTCGCTGGTGGGGACCAGCAAATAATAAAAAAAATAGACTTTATTTACAGTAACTAATTCATCGGTTACTTGATTTTGAATAAAAATGAATTTTATAAAGACATTAAATGCTTGTTAATAGATGCAGATTTTTATTAAATATTTAAGACAGCAACTTTTCTCTACCAAATTTCAAATAGGAGAATCTAGGAATTTTATTTCCTCCTTCTTAATATTGTTTTTAGTGATTTTTTAGCTCGAAAGATTGGTACCATCGATTACCTACTTGATTTTTGTCATGTAATTTTGCGTTTTGCTCCCATTTGAGTGAAAGTTTTTGTAATTTTCATAAAATTTCATAGCCGTCTCGATGATTTAATTTAATTTTAATCTTTCTCAAGGACTAGTATCTCGCTTTGAGCTTCAAGAACTTTGTAATTAAATTTAATTGCGTTTTAAAAGCAAAGTGAATTAATAAATTTATGTGTTTTTTGATAAATTTTGCGAAAGTGTTAATTAGGTGTTATCTCCACTTCTAATTAATTTTCTACACCAGTTTTATGGTGTGAATAATATTGTTTAGTTATTTATCATTTCTAAAACTTTATTTTGTTAATTAAGCTTGTGAGTGCAATGTGAAAAGGGTAATTAGAAGTGGAAAAATGTGATTAATTTCACGTTTGAGCACAATCAAATCAAAACGTCGTCTTTTAATTAATAACAATAAAGCAGCTGAAACCTTCCATTAAAAATTCGGAGAAATTAAATGAAACTTTTATAATATCTCTCGTAATAAATAACACACTCGCCATCCAAAAAAACATTAGTCCGTTTCTCGAAGATTATCACCGAATTCGAGGGCATTTACAAGTAATTTCGTAGGTATTCCGACCTATCTCCCTATTACTATTGATTACGGCACAGCAGGCTTGGACAGTCGTTGTTTTAAGTATTTTTTTTGTGTGCGACTGGCGACAGAAATTTGTCACGCGATAAAACTCAGACGGAGAAATTAGTACGTTAGACCGGACATGATTGGTGAAAAAAAAAAAAGATGACAATCGAGGGATGAAATCGCAGACGGCTTGTCCACTTTATTCGCATGCTAGTTGATTGACTTCTAATGAACTTATGGTGGCCCAAAGCCCCAAAGGCGGGAGAGTAATTGCCTCTATTTACCCTCTACACTGCTAAAAACTATTTACCCGAGCAAAAACAAACGAAGATCACGTAATACGCCATCTTAACGACAATAAATTGACGTCCCGTTAGCGAAAAAGCGAGATTTGTGTTGAAATCTGACCGCAAGCTTCCGTTACATAACCATTTTTTTCTATCGCCGAATTTTGACGCGTGAAAATCACGATATTTACCGCAATCAGCGCAATATCATTCACCAATTTCGCCATTATGCGGGCCGATAATCCTCTGAATAAATAAATAGTTGAATAGATTAGTCAGCTAATGGAATAGGTTAATAGAATTAGAAGAGTTTGCTATTGTAATAACATTTTAATTAGTCCACAAATTTATTACTTGTAGCAGTCGATTTCGGCAGGTTCTTCGGGAATGTCGTCCAAAAAATTGTACATGTCGGTCGCAAGCCCAAAAGCAATGGTTCCAAGCACACTTCCAACTCCGATAGCCAAGTGCATGTTGTATTTGCTCTGTCTTGCGTTGTTTTGGGTGTAATAATCACCCTCAGGGCTTGGCATGTCGTTCAACGTCACCTTCGGAAACTCGACTTTTTTCGCGTAGTTTTTCCGGTCGAAAAACACTATTTTGGAACACACACCGATTTTAAACTGTAATTAATTGAAATTTTTGGACTTACCTGATTTCGTTCTAGGCAGTAGGCGGCGTAAAGTCTTGACGGTTTGCATTTTTGTAATTATTTGTAATTAATTAACACAATTCGGGGGATAATTAGAAGAATTATTCGAGTTGTTTGACAATTGCTCGCGGTTGCTATGGTTACTCAAATTGACTCTGAGGATTGTTGATTTTTGAAAGAGGAGTATTGGCGGGAAAATTGAAATATTTTTTTTAATTTATTAAAATTAAAAACATTAGAGAATGCGTAATTTTGTAATCTTTATACACTCAGTTTTTGTAATTATTGTGCGTATATTTCTTGTATTTTTTTTTAAATAAATTATAAATAAATAAAGTGGGTTGTCAGTTTGAGCTGAACTAAGCAACATTAAAGAATATAGAGACAGAAGATGTGAGATCTGTCAATTTTCCTATCTTCTGTCTAGACTACTTTGATTTATATGAGATTTAATTAAAAAAAATACTTGCAAATAATAATAATAATAATAAAAAAACGAGAATACAAAAACGTCAATTAATTAGAAAACTTCAAATATTGACCACAATTTTGCCATTTTGTGACGAGTTAATATTATATGTACATATAAGATTTTTCCTAATATTGGTCAATGAAAGGGACTATCGATAATAATTATCGACTATATGAGATATCTTGGATCTCAATAATAATAAAGAAAATAACTATTGAAAGGTCAAGTCAAGTTGCTTTTTATGTTTTTGAAAAGTTAAAGAAAAGTAGGATATTTTGTGTTGCTTACCCAAAATACATTAATTTTTTTACGAATTGATAGAATTACACTCTAATTTTAATAAAAAAATGAGATTTTATGAGTTTTATACCTACTATAGTATACAGTTGGAGACAAAATACTTTGGTCGTCACTTTTCCGACACTTTAATGTAATTCAAGCTTTAATGAATGACAATTTCACATTAATGACAGCTATTATATCTTTCTATCAAAAATATGTACAACTTGTCAACTATAATTGACAGTAGCTAAGAGTCCTAAAGCATGCTTTACAATTTAATGTTACTCAAGTGACATTGATGACCAAAATATTTTGTCTCCAACTGTACATATCTACTATAGGATCTCAGTAATGACAAAAGTAGTAAAAAAAAAAATTTTTTTCAAAAATTTTTTTGTCTGAAGTTTTTTTAGTATTAGAAAAAATTAAATTGTATATGAAACTCAAGAAATAAGTTTTTATCTTGAGCCCTTTATTTCTCTCGCTTTCGGCTCATGTAATCAACAGCATTTTCGGGAAGAAGAAAAGTAATTTTTTTCTTTGTTGCACAAATAATTATTTTTAACGCTAATTGTAACAGAAAAAATAAAAATAAAGTCACAAATTAAGTCGTCACTTCTCACTTTTTTGAGTAACAAAAAAGTTTTGTATTTTACTGTTTTTCACTTAAAATAATAAAAATAATTTTTGGGATTGAGTTATTTCACTTAAAATAATAAAAATAATTTTTGGGATTGAGTTACTAAATGATAAAAATTACTTACCTACTAATTTTATAGCACTAATTGTCATAGAAAAATAGTTAAGAAACGTTAATTTACGAGTAAGTCACGTTATCTCTTAATTTCTTTTGACAAATAAAAAAAGTTGTGTTTTTTGGGGTTTCAAACTCAAAATAATAGCTATTTATGTATCAAGACACTTGTATTTTAATAAATACGATGAGTAATAAAAAAATACTTTAGTGCTGAGGTGCATATTAAATTTTTTCTGAAATTGCAAATGTAGACAAAATTTGTGAAAAACTATTTTTGAAGGTTAGGTTATTATCATGATAGTTTACAATACAATTGACAGTTTGCTCCAATAAGTACAGTGTTGTCAGATTTTTCGTTTTAATAGTCCCATCTCGTTCATATTCCGCAGTAGCCACCATACAAAACCACAAAATAGAAGAAAAAAAAATTGTGTACAGGGTATCTTATAAAAACACAAAAAAAAAAAAAATGACAGGTATAAGATACCAGAGAATTATAAAAAAAATGTTAAAAAAATTCTATAAGAATTTTAAAATTTGACCCTATTTTTTTGTTGGAAAAATAATTTTACATGTTTTTACGCTGGAGACTATTAGAAAAGGAACTAAGAAGCTGTATCCTGAATTGTAACTATGTTAATGTTATATTTGTGGCTTTTATTGACAAAGTTTTTGTACAAAATCATCGGTAACAATAGATGTAAGAAAATGTCAAATCTCAAAAAATTAAAGTCAACATTTTTTGACAGATACAATTTTTTAAACATTTTTTAAATGTTTCTAGTATCTTATTTAACTTGGCATTTTTTTGTGTGTTTTTATAAAACACCCGATAGAATTAAAAACCAATACTTAGAAAGAGATAACATGTTAACAATAGAATTATGTCTTTACCTAGCTCATGTTTTCAGTAGTTTCAACATCACTGTTATTAATGTTCGCAACCAACAATACACAAAACTGTAGTATAATGAACTACTTTAGTGCTGATTTTAGACTCTTACTGATGATTTTATGTAATTTTGCTGTCGATTATAGAATATTCTTTCAGATTCCAAACTTTTATTGCATTTCTGAATTTTTGATATTAAAACAAAAACGTTATGAGATACATATTTTTTGGGCTATGTACGTGGTAGTTTTTTTTATATGTTGAGATAAATTGAATTTTTGTATTTTTTTCTTTATTGTTATTTTAATAATTTTATCTATCTTTTTCACTTTTTATTTTTTGTCGGGCAAAATCTTCAAAACCGCTTGTGATAAATTAATCGCGTCGGTTTGTAACAGCGTAGCCGTTATGAGCCCCTGTCCCTGGTGTAGTGCAAATCGAATTATCGCCCCCCGTAAAGACTCACAATATGTGTGTGTGCTCTTTCTTCTCTTTATGTACTTATTGTCCTCGTGCTATCAGATCGAGGTCTCGTGTCTGCTACCCCTCATCTCAAAGTGACTAACAAGTCGATTATTTATTATTTATCATTCGATTTTCTTCGGTAATTATTTTGAAAGCCTCTGTTCGTTAATTTATCGAGTCGGTGATGGTGTGCGTGCCACTCCGTGGCATAATTCCGTTTTCTTCCTGATGTCGTATTCTGGAAATATTGTGTGGTGGGTTCTCCCTGTTGTTTTACTGCCGTTTTTATTACCGTCCGCTGGCTTTCTGTTATCTTGATATCCGTAATTATGATGTTTTGTTTCTCGGAATTCGCCTCGCTCGCAATTAATATTAATTAGATTAGATCAGATAGGAGGAAAAGAGGAGAGAAAAGGCCGCTGTTGAAAAATGTATCGCCGCCCGGATTGCCTTTTTTATAGGGCCATTGCCGAGCTCTTATTTGTAAAGCGGAGTTGCTTTTAACGGCGCACTCCAATTAAGTTAGCCGGATTTTTCCGGTAGCTTTTCCGGTCAAGCCGAGTGACTTATTAGACGGGAGATCGGTGTGGACAAGCGATTACGGGGCCGATCAACGCTTTTCTACACGGATTAAGTTCGCTGTCGTTCTAGACTTTTTGATTTCGGCCAGATGGGACACGGGAATCGTTAATGTAATAGGGATGAATGCGGGGTCTCGGGAGATGCAAGAGCTTAATTGATCCCTGATGACGGGGACGGTGCGAAACGTCGACAACGACCCCACACACCCACGAGTATTTAGTTACAAAGTGTCTCGAGAGCGATTCGATCGATTTACATTACGTTTTCAATGGGCCGATTGAGTCGTCGATTGTCAACAACAGGGAGTTGGAATTATTTGCTTGTTGGTTGTTTTGTTTTCATAATATGGTGCAAGTTACGAAAATGTTTATTAAGACTTTTTTGTTGTGTATGTCATGTCTTAACACACTGTAAAATTTTACGTATTATTTTACAACTATCCTATGTAGGATTACAGCCGACATTAGCCAAAAAATTGATTTTATTGATTTTTGAATGTGTCGGAAAATGATCGATCAATTTTGTGTCGCAAAAACGCTTGAAATATGGTATTCTAAACGTGAAACGAGTATTAAAAATCGAATAAAATTTTGACACAAATCAAAAAATCAAAAAAATTGAAATCATCAAAATTCAACCAAGAGCACTTTTAGGAGTCCAAGAGGCTTAGAAAAGTGCAAAAATGTTGTAAAACACTTAGAAATGTGTTTAAAAAGTTATAGGGTTGAGTTAGGTAATATAGTTTCGTAGAAAAACGCATTTAAAATTTCAGAATTTTTATCTTTTTTATTTTGTAAATTGCGGAAAAACTTTATCTCAATGAGATAATATTTTGGACCTAGACATATGTAAAATGTTCCGGGGAATCGATAGGCGTTAAGAAAACTGCAAAATTCGTAATAGTTTTGAAGTTTTAGTGGAATTTTATTTTTGATATTTTTGACTTTATCAGAAATTGTCTCGATAACTATTTATCGTAGAGCACTGATCTTTTTCATTTATGATAGAAAATTAAATTTTCTTTCCAACGGTACCAAATATAAGAGGTTATCTCCAATAAGTCCGGAGTTATTGCCAATAGACCGCTCCAAGTGCCAAAAATCGACCAAAATCTCTATAAAAATTTAAAAAATTTTCAACTTTAAAATTGATTTAACGTTTTTTACATTTATAGAGGTCTTAAAGACTCAAATAAGTGCATAAAACACACTTGGGTCAAGTTTAAAAAATTGCGAATTTTTTGAATTTTTGAAGATGAGCGGTAGTAAAATCGTAAAAATAGTCAATTTACTAAAAATCGTAAAAACGGTTGAAATATGGTTTTCAAGACCTAAAATTCCGCGCTGAACACGATGCAGTTAAAATATTCTACGATGCATAGTTTTTGAAATATTGAGTAATAAAGTTAAGAATATTGCTGGAAACATCCGATTTTGATCAAAAAATCCAATTTTTTTTATTTTTATGAAAAACTAGGTTTATATGTAAAATTAACTGTAGAACACGTTTGTAGAAACCGTTTTGATCTAGGACTCATAGTTTTTGAGATATTAATTTTTTATAAAAAAAACTAAAAATAGCTCTGTACCCGGAAATATAACCCGGAGCGACTCCGGATTTTGTCCATTAAATAGATAATTTAATGTAGATTCTGATGTTTCTTAGCATTTTGCTCTAAGTCTTATAGT